AATTCTGAGAAAGTTGATGTAAACGTGGTACGTTTCCCATGGAATTAGTCATATTCATTCTCATATCTGACCTAATTTTAACAATGTGTATCGGTAGCATTGCGTACCGAAAGAAGAAAAACAAAAAAATAGCTAATGTATGTGCCGCATAACAACTACTTTAAGATAAGTCATATAAATTATGATGAAAATGATAATCAGAAAAGAAATGTTGGAAGCAAAAGTTATTTCTACACCAACTGCAACAAATAAAGGGAGACGATTCACAACAGCTACCATTGCCTGAAATGTTATGAAATGTAAAGCACACTTGTTTAACAGTTAGAAAAGAATCGGGATGATCGTCTATATATCCACTTGCGTGCCATGCATACTGTAGCAATTTTTGAAAAACAGGAGCACATAGCTGATTATAAATGAGAGATTGGCTACGAATGATAGAATTACGTTCACTTAAATTAATATCAAGACCATCAAGTAGTACTCGATCGAACATACGACGAGCAATATATTTGTGCTGATTATTGTAAAATAAATCCAACGGCTGAATTTGTGTGGTGGTATGTTTAGCTAATTCAAGCCGATAAAGTTTGTTAATATTGTCGTAAATACCTGTAATATTACTTTGACCTGGCCAGCAGTCAGAGATGAGAAGAGTATGATGAGAAGCAATGGAAGGAAGTAAAACATTATCTCGGGTGCGGGTGTGGGTGTGGGTGTGGATGAAGAGAGTACGTATACCCACACCCACACCCACCCACACCCGCACCCACACCCACACCCACCCTTCTATTTTACTAACAATCTTTTATATAAACATTTTCTTGAATCTGTTCCATAATTTTATCCGTCAAAAACTTTCCAATTCCAGCAGTCAACATAGAGAGACCGAAGCTAATTGCTTTTTGTATTGCCCATTCTTTCCAACTAAAAGTACCTGATAATCCTGCCATATTAGAAACACCTTCACTAATTAAAGAATTGCCTATTTGAGTCAAACCAAAGGCTAATAAAACAGCTCCGGCAAAACCATTTCAATCCCACCAAGATTTATCTTCTTCAATAATCAAAAATTTACTAAGATTAAAACCTTCAAAAAAATCTTAATTCACTTGGAACATTTTCTTGATCTTGAAGATCCATAAAATCTTTTAAATTAGCTTTTAAACCTTTTTTAAATGAACGAATATCTCCTTGTAAAGACAAAATTTTCGACAAAATTAATTCTTTATCATTTTCAAATTGAGTATTGTTTAAAATTTTATTTAAAATTCTTTCAATATTTCTTTTAATATCTCCATATTTATATTTGGTAAGTCCACCAGACTTTAAAATATTTTTTTCTTTTAAATAAATTCGAATATTATTTCCTTCTTCTTCTTTAATAGTAAATGGTAAATCTGTGTTGATAAAAATATTGATTTTGTTGATTAATATTATCTTTTAATTCTATTAAAAATGTTTTAAGATCTTTTGTTTCATGACCATTATCATTAAATTTAATTTTCGCATATTTTTCTTTCTATTGATTGTTCAAATAGAGAAATATAACTTGTTGTAGATCTATTTTATCTTCTAAATCTTTCCAAACATTTTCATATATCTGTGGTAATTCTTTTTCTATTCCATTTATATTTAAAATTTGCCATAACTCGTCACTATAACAAACAATATTTTCGAAATCTTTTTTTTTCAAAAGAAGATTTACTATTTAATAAACTAATTAATGGATCGGCAATCGAAGGATCAAGATCATTTCGAATTATCTTTTCTATTTTATATCGTTCTTGTGAATTATTTCGAAATATTTCTCTTATTGTATCTCCTTGAATAATTTCAAATTGAACTAAAAGTGAATATAACTCTTTTCCTTTATCTTGACCTTCACGAGTTAAATTTTGTTCATCTTTTGGATGTAAAATAAAATGAAATGGTTCTACTGTATCTCCAACAGCTTCTAATTTTCCTTTTATTTGATCTTGATAAAAATTTTCTTTTGAAGAAATTTTTTTGAAGGGTGTGGGTGTGAATGTGGATAGGGGTCTTCTCATTATCTACACCCATACCCAAATTTGAACTTAGCTCTACACTATTAGAGAACCTAAAGAGAAACCTCTGATCAAAATGCACTTTTTTCTGGAAACGAACTGTCTCAATTGTTTTACGTGACCGTGAAAAGGTCAAACATTGTTCCTATTTCAAAATAAAAGGCAAAGCAACTAGACTATTTAATTTAAATTGATTACAATAGCTGATTTTCCACATTAATCGTTTGAATAAGAAAACAATTATTAATGCCTTCATTCAATTTACCAATTTAATCAAATAAATAACAGACACAACAGATATACAAAGAGGTTAATACAAAAAAAAATCATATTGGATTTCTTCATATGAAAATACTGGCAAAGAGTTCGTCTGTCTTGATATTAAAATTCAAAAATTATTTTCCTCTTATGCAATCATGATCATATGATGCCTGATCTGTTGTACCTAATCATACGAATTGAATCTTGCGATCAGCAGTTCATATGAGTAAGATTTCTGGACTAATGACTATTTGAATTGAACTGAGTTCATTTGAAAAAAGAAACATAAATTAAATTTGAATAAATATTAGAACACAAAGAAAATTGTTTATGAATCTTATCAAAAGACTCATTGTTTAATACGTTACGATCGGGAGAAGTTACTTGATATTTTAAACAAAAAACTTTACACAAATATTCTTTAAACATCAACATCAATCTGAATTCTATCATACATATCGAATATAAGTATGTCAATAAATCTTTTATTATGAGCCTTTTTATTGATAGAAACTTCTCATAAAAGTAACAAGAAGGATATCATTTCATAGGGGGACGTTTGAAATTTTCTTTAAATGTCCTTTAGATCAAATTTTTCTTCTACGTTTCAAAGATTCATTTATACTTCTTAACATATGGTTCTTACGAAAATTATTTTTCAGGCATAGAACGTTAACATATCTTTATCAAAATTTTTTCATTGAAAGTCTAATGAGAAAAGAAATATATGGTTGATTAATTAATTGATTTATTATTATTGAGATTTCTTTTACAAAATCAAATATTTGATCTATACATAATTTGATTGCTAAAAAGGCAGAGACACTTTTCAGTCAACGAAATTAACGTACTTCGAGTATAACAAAATTTTTTCTTATTATTATCAACAGATAATAAACTAATTGAAATTATAAGATTTAAATAAATAAATACAAAGCATAAATAAAGATACCTCATATTCAGATCAATTTTATTAACTAATAATCTTAGTAATTTCCTTTTATACATTATATTATTATTTCTTTAGTTCAATTATGCATTGTAACAAGCTCTCTTCAAATGAAATGTCTTGCTTGTACATTTTCTCACCTATTATTTACTCACGTTTGTTCACTTTTTTTGGAAAGAAAAACAAAATAAATATCGCAATAAAAGTGTCCCTTTTACAAACACTCGATAACTACATCAGTTCATTGCATAACGAAATCGGCAAAAAAATACCAATTGAACAATGTCTATATTGATGAGAGAATTGAATAGTTTTTTATGACTATATTAAGCAATGAAGACCCTTCAATTTGTTCTTTGTCATATCAATTACGGAAATCAAGATAATTCTAATAAAAAATATTCTAGTCTAGCTATGTATATACCTATTTAATTAATACTTTTTCTAATTGTCTTTATAAAATTATGGAAAACGGATATATGTCCGAATATGCCTGTATTATTTTCAAAAACATCAAAACTTAACAAGAAAAATACACAAATAAGTTGTTGAGTATGTTTTCTTTTTTATGAAAATTCATAACATCTCCATCCAATCGAAATAAACAATATACCGACAATAATTTGACGAAAGATTTGAATAAACTAAATACTATGAAAACAAAAGGAAGTTCTTTAATCTGTTGAACAATTTTTGTAAGAGAGAAAAAAATAATATGAAATACACGAATACACCTACAATGGTCTATTACTATCATGAAATCATTAGATTGACAAGTTTATTTTTTACTTAGATTTGGTTTTATCGTCTATGAAGTTGCAAACTATAAAAACACAGAATATACTTCATTTAATTCTAAGCATATGATATAATTTCATAGACAGTGATTTTTTCAGTAACTAGAAACAATTATCTATTTCATTGATCAATACTCGTGAATATTTAAACAAACTGAATAGATTTGATCAATAAAAGACTTTAGTTTTTGGAACTTTCAATGAACAAAACAATTCTGTCCTTTCTTATATTTCTCAATTTTCATGATTCAGTTGATATAATTAATTAACCGATTTCACTTGCACCTTGTGACAAGCGATACATTGTTCAAATGGAAAGAAAAAATTGTCACAAATGAAGTAAGAGCGCGGCATTCCTCTTGTCTTTACCCATTACATTAGATTACGTTCAAAAGAAAGTGAAATGTGTAAAAATGATAGTGCTTATAAAATCTAAACTCAATTCATTCTTTCTACTAACATATTATCGTATGCAGTTTAGTATAAAAAACTATTCCCAAAAGCTAGAAATAGTATCGTTTTTGTCTCACTGTTTTCTATTCATAATCAGTAAAATGAGTAATTTTTTGCCTGTAGATAGACGTGGAAAACAAAAAAAAAACAACAATAATATATACTGAATAATCAGCTCTATATTTTGGGAGGAATTCATGACTACTGGTGCATGTCCCTCAACATTCGTTTTTTTTTATATATCCACAATCACGAAATGATTTATATTCATCACTATTTCTCTGAATTTGTGAACGCAATTGAATACATATATAAAAGTCAGTAATACAGGTTATTGATAGTTTGTTGTGATATTTACAGAACGTGCTTATCGAAAATATTTATTTTATACAGTTATGCTTCATAAAAAGTGAATGATAGTTACTCCTTTATTACATTTATTGTTTACTTATAATTGATACATATGACCAAGAAAATTTAATTTTATCTTATGGCAGATTTTGATGATTATACCCATGTCAATATCTTAACTATTCTTTAAATGAAGATCACATTTTCTACAAAGTTAATATGTTCAATGAATTATTCTTTGTAATCAAACGAAAAGTTTTCATTAAAATCAACTCGAGTTGATGAATTAACTTGTCTTGAGTCCTTGTATAAAGATGAACCATTACAGTACACTAGAAGTTTGGATATGTACGTGAAACTAAGAAATGTTTAAATTTTTTATAAAACAGAAAAGAAAGGCAATAATTGATAATTACTTTCTATAAGTATCATCTAATAAATTATAAAATTTTCTGATTACATTTTCTCTTTCTTTTGACATTTAAAAAGAAAAACAAGATTAAGTTACTCGTACAATTTTACGTTTCCTTTTATCTATCAAAAGAAAGTATGTAAGCAAGAGTGAAAAAAAAACTACTAATTCTAAAAATTCATTTTTGAGACAAAAACATTTTATATTACGAAATCATTATATTTTGGATTTATCGATAAATAAATACTTGTTCGACTGCCCTCACTTATAGAGAAACGTCAATTTTTTTTTTGTTTTTCGTTTTGCTAGGATTTCATCAATCAATCAGTTTCATTTTGTAGAAGATATTTTGAAAAATAAAATGCTATAACATGAGAAGATAGAAAAATAAATTAAAACAATAACTATCATCGAAATGATAAAAAAAGGTATTTTTTGAAGAAGAAATATCAAAAAAACATTTTTAAATTTCTTTCGTTTGTCATCGATATTTCAAGAATATGTTATATTCTTAAGATTTCGAAAAGTTTTATGAGCAAAGACAAAAATAAAACTTTATCTTCCTCCTAAAAATGAAGCATTCATTCATAATAGGGAAATGAGTTAGGAAAATAATTTTTTTTTGTAAAAACAAAAAAGACATCAGAGTGTGAATGACTATTGTATTGTATGTTATCATCATTCGAGTATACTAGTTATGATGATTTTAATAAAAGAAAAAGAAAACAATATGCAGAGAACTTTGAACAATTTTCAATCAAACTTGAAAATTAAATAGAATCATCTCTTATAGAGATCGACAAATGTCATGATATTTCTATAAATATTATCTTAGACGATAATGCAATTATGTAATAACAAAGAAAAAAAAAACTGAAAATAATTAGCACTAATTTCTTCTGACATATAAAATTTATCAATAACACTTTTCATTTTAAATAAATATTTATAGAATAATTCTACATGAATTTAATAAATCAAGATTTCCATATGTCAAATACTCATGATCTCGAATGATGGTATAGTTAGACGTAACAAAGTCAGAAAAACAAAAGAAATACTGCTGTAAAAAATGGTCTGAAGGACATGCTTTATTGTGAAATAAAAAAATCTATAGCATTCTTAATACCAGCATAATAAAGATTGTCAGTATAATGTTGAATTGAAGTTGTTTTGACTTGTTTCAGAATATTCATTTTCTATGAGAAATATACTATAAGTATATCATAAACAAAATAATCTACTCGTATATTGTAATCTTCAATTATTATAAAACTATATTTACATCAAACTAATCGATTCAACTCGTTTTGTGTAAAAAAAAAAGTACATGTTGATCGTAAGTGTTTGGACATCGAGAAATGTGTCCCACATAAGATCAAGTATTCTTTTCTGTGGAGAAGATGTAAGAAATACGTATAACATAATGAATATATGAGTCAGAATTATTATATCTTTCATTGATATAATCAAAGCCAAATTCATTAAACAATGTATATACCGTTAATCTACGTACTAATGAAAGAGAGACATATACTATAGTACTACATAAATTAATGATTATACGATTGGTATTTTTATTCTCATCCACAAAACAGAATTTTCTATTTTCAGAGAATTGATAGATAGTTTCAAATTCTTTTTTTTATCAAGAGAGAGTAGTTTATTTTTCATCGAGTTATTTTTGTTTCGTGAGACTTTTTATAAAAATGAAATATTCATCCAAAGATAGGAAGGATGACTCGAAAAAAAACATGTTCTTTTTTGTTTATGTTTCATAATTTCGATTGATAATCGGCCAAATTAGTTCATATTTGCCTCGTTTCACATGAAAAGATAGAACAAAATGAGACGAACATTTTCTTGTCTGAGGAACAATACTTGAAAACCTACTCGAGAAATACTAGCGGTTTTCAAAGTTCTCTCCCGTTGGAATGATTCGAATCACCCTAACTGGTGTAATTCAGATTACTATCTCAAGGCTCTCACCATTTTTATAAAAACTCTAGAGATAAATTTTGTTCGATGTAAGATAATTGAACAATGGCTGAGATAAATCAATTTTTTTGGATTGTTACTTTTTTTTAAATGCGAAATGACAATATCATAATGAAGATTTCGTATAGCAAAAAATAAAATAGCTATCGCTGCTCGGCTTTTTCAGCGAAGATCTAGGTGTAGTATCTGTTCTCGACGGTTTGAAAGCCAGCGCTGGTTTCATTATGTTTAGACTCTTTCAAGCGGATTTTTGGATATCGGTTGAGATCATCCTAGTTCATTCAGAGTTATGCCATGAATCGTCTCAACATTACAGTGTCATCTGGTTGCTTGCTTTGAGCATGATGGAATGATTTTCGTTATCTGATAGAATTGTTCAACACATTATCCTTCGCTAGAAATTGGCAGCACGGATCTGTAGAATTAATATCAAGTTACTTTGTAAACGAGAACGACTAGCTAATATTTTATACTCACATCGAGCAACAATAAATACTTCTACTATTCGTTGTTTGTAGACCAAGAAATTAATTTGATTAATATGAATCATGAGCGAGGTTGAATACATGTTAGCTAATTATATTCGGAATGAATCTTGTCAAACAATCAAGTTACTTATGAAACTATAACTTAAACATCAATGTGAGAAAAGAATTTATAAAGATCTTCATTTGAACAAGTCTTTTTTCCATAGAAGTCTCTTGTATTTGTCTATCCATATAAATTATTTTATCATATTTGCAGCATTGTATCATAGGTTTCTTAATAATTTGTTTGTCGGAAATTCTTAAGTTTTCATGGAAAACATATTGTAGTCAATATAACACAAGTGAAAATACAGTTGACTTACAAATCGTTCGACCATAACAAATCATTTGAGCATATTCGCTGTATCTCTCCTCTTACAATATTGACTACAATAAATCTTTCCAAAAATCTTTAGAACTTACAAAAACAGAAGTTAGTAAGAAAAAGAGCTTTCAGGAAAAGAAAACTAAATTATGATTTTTGTTTATCACCTCAACTGTAAATCGAAAACGATCCATATAACTATGATTATGATTAGACAATAAATGTCATTGGAATTAGATAATTTGAAGATGATTCTGAAACAACTATTCACTAAGAAATCTTAATAATTATTGCTTATGTTTAATGTGAAATGATTCTGTTATCATCTATGTAATTGAAGCAATAAATAACCATTTTCGTATTTCTTTCTTTAAATTGAACGATCGCAAATGATCACCGAATTGTTTTATGTTGCGTATAGTCCGATCATTACCAAAATGATATTTAACACCTTTTCTATTTTCTCAAAAAATGTAAGATGTTAATTATTGTTTTTTATTTAAATGAAATCAAAACAAGATTGAATTTAAAATTGAGTCTTCGACAATTAATCGTTTCACTTAGGTACAATTTTGTTGTGTTGCATTTCTTGTAAAGTTTTTTGTTACGCTTTTCAATTGATCATATGAAAATTTGAATTCAGTTAAACATGGTAAATGTGTTTTAAATTCATTCAGAAACTGATCAACATAACTTAAATCAAGTGAAATAAGATGAGAATACTCAATAATCGAATGTGAATAGTTGTCAACGAATGGATATTTGTAAGATCTCCAAATTTGTGGGTTTAAGTAATGGAAAAGCTCGAGTAACTTGAATGAAAAATTCACGTTTGAATGGAAGTTCATCGTGTAATTCCAATTTAGTTACAGATCTGAATATAATAGATGGAAGTTTGTTCGTGATCTGTTTGACACGATCAAATATAAATGGGAGTGAGAAAACATGACATACAGTTTTAAAAGTATCGAAATAGTCTAGAATACAAGTCGCCTGGTAAAGATCTATATTTATAAAAGTTCGTTGAATATCATAATTAGATATGCAATGAGTTGCATCATCGATGTCCTTCTTTGTACTAATATAAAAATTAAATGTATGAAGTGGTGGCACATGAATAAGGATTTTATTATGAAGATGAGTTTCATGGACGAATGTAAATCAATTTATGATACAAATATATAAAGTTAATTCTTCAAGATATGACATACGATTAAGAAGAGGTACCACTAATTCAT